GGGCGTGGGCAAGACCTGCCTGCTCTGCCGGTTCACCGACAACCAGTTCCACCCCGCCCACATCTCCACCATCGGTACCGGCACCGGCAGCGCACGGCGGCCGCGGCGGCGGGAGCGGGGAAACGGGGAACCGGGAGCATCGGGGAAGCGGGAGCAGTGGGGAGGCGCAGCACCGGGGAAACGGGAGCATCGGGGAACCGGGCAACCGGGAAGACTGGGAGCCGCAGCACCTTGGAAACGGGAAGCCAGAGAACCGGGAACACCGGGGAAATGGGGAGCTGCGGCACCGGGGAAACGTGAAACCGGGAGCATCAAGGAATCGGGAGCGATGGGGAAGCGCAGCACCGGATAACCGGGAGCACTGGGAGCCGCAGTACCGGGGAAAAGGGAAACCGGGGAACTGGGGAGCCGTGGGCATCAGGAAACCGTGAGTTCTGGGAAGCCACAGCACTGGGGAAACGGGAAAATGGGCAACCGGGGAGCGGGAAAACCGTGGGAACCGGAGAACCGGGAGGACAAGGGAGACTCAGCAACGGAGAAACCAGTGAACGGGAAAACTGTGGGCATCGAGGAACCGGGACTGCCGAGGAGCTGGGAAGCCACGGGATCGGAGAAACGGGAAACCAGGGCACCCGGGAATAGTGGGAACCAGGGAACCGGGGAGTGGTGGGCACAGGAAAAGCGGGGGCACCGGGAAAGGGTTAACCGTGGGCACTGGAGAGCTGCAACACTAGGAACATGGGGAAACAAGTAACCAGAGAGAGGGAAAACCGTAGGCACCGGGGAGAGGGGAAACTGTGGGCACCAGGGAGCCAGGAGCATCGGGAGTCGCAGCAGCGGGGAACCGGGAAGCCATGGGCATCGGGAAACGGTGAAACCGGGGGCATTCATAAGCCGGGACCACCGGGAAACTGCAGCATAGGGAAACTGGGAAACCGGCAGCTCTGGAGAGCCGCGACTCCAGGGAACCGGGAGCATCAGGGAGTCAGGAAGTCATGGGCACAGGAGAACCGGGAGGACCAGGCACCTCTGGCCCAGGGGAACCAGGAGCAGCGTGCAACCGGGAACTGAAAGCATTGGGCAGCCACAGCACCGAGAAGCTGTAGCACTGGGGAACTGGGAGAACTGGACAGCTGCAGCTCCGGGGAACTGGGAGCGCCAGGATCACCACCTGGCACCAGGGCCTCCTGCCAGGCCAGGCACCGGGTGTGGGGACCAGCACCAAGCCATGGTGGGGCATTGGGTGGGCCAGGAGAGGTGAGGGGACCAGAGGGCCCCAGTGACAACAGCTCCTGCAGAGGGAAACACCAGGATGCCCCGAAACCTCTCCTATTCCAATCCCAGGTGTCGACTTCAAGATGAAGACCATCGAGGTGGATGGGATCAAGGTGCGGATACAGATCTGGTGAGTGGCAGCACTGGATCCTCGGGGGAAAGAGGGAAGAAATTTTGGGGGGTATGAGTCCCGCTCCCCCCACCCTAGGCAGGGGCTGAGCCCTGCCAAACTCATGCCATGGGAGGTGGCACTGACCCACTGTCCCCGGGCAGGGACACAGCTGGCCAGGAGCGGTACCAGACCATCACCAAGCAGTACTATCGACGGGCACAGGTACAGGGGACAGGGAGCTCCCCGTCCTGGTGCACAGGAAAGGGGAAACTGAGGCACAGTTTTGGGATGTCAACGGCCTCCCCCCACCCCCTGCAGGGCATTTTCCTGGTGTACGACATCAGCAGCGAGCGCTCCTACCAGCACATCGTGAAGTGGGCCAGCGACGTGGATGAGGTGGGGGTTGGTGAGGGAAGGTTTGGAGGTTCCCCAGCCATGTGTGTGTGGCAGGGGGGTCCTTACACTGTTCCCCCGCCCAGTACGCACCTGATGGCGTCCAGAAAATCCTCATCGGGAACAAGGCAGACGAGGAGCACAAGAGGCAAGTGCCCAAAGAGCAAGGGCTGCAGGTGAGCGGGGGCTGCTGTGTGCTCCCCCCCAGGGGGCAGGACCCTTCCTGCACCCCCAGCATGGCCAGCCTCTTCCTGAGCCCCCTCTGCACTCGGGACCCCAACAGCCCTCCTGCAGCCCTACCTCTATCCGGGACCCCCAGACCTCCCCAGCCCCTCCCACCAAGACCAGGGACCCTCCCCATCTTGCAGTCTGTACCCAGACACCCCAAATCCTGCTCCCCCAGTGTGTGGGAACCCTCTTCCACTCCACCCCTGCAGTAGTTGAGCACCCCCAAGGCTCCCTCTTCCCCACCTGTAAAATGTTCAGAGACCCCTAATCTCTCCCTGTACCTCCAGCATGGTCTCCTGCACCCCTGAATCACACAGTGACCCCCTCAGTGTCCCCCTTGACCCCCAAAGCACACAGTGCACCTCCCTGCAATCCCAGCATGGCCAGAGCCTCCACAAGCCTTCCCTGCATTCCACATGGACCCCAATAGCCTTCCTGCAGCCCCACCCATATCCAGGGACCCCCAAACCTCCCTATCTGTCTCCAGTGACCATTCCATGCTCCTGCAGTCTGAACCCAGGGACCCCTGACCCTGCCCTTGCAGCTCCAGAGCATCCAGAGCACCCAGAGCATCCAGGAAACCCATTTACTGCCCAGTGCTA